CAGTTGGGTTCTTTGAGATTGCTCTCAATCCTAGAGCTTCCAATAACAGCAGTGATCAATAGAGCTGAGTATTTTACTGGTGCGGTGCCTTTAGGGGCCTTGGCTTTTGTGATTCCTTTAGGTGTTTGTTTGTTCACTGGAGGATGATTGCTGCTGTTCTGTATTTCTGTCCTGGTGACCGCAACATGCGGGATGGAGCTGGTTTATCCGTGTGGGTTGGAGTTGTCCTCTTGGTTTTGTTGCGGGGACAGGAAGGGCAGGGATGGGAGCTCAGAAGCAGGCAGCCAGGCTCCTGTCGCCATGCAGGCTGCCCAGCTTGCAGAGTCATGTGCTGCAGCTCAGGCAGTGCTGCAGAGAGCACTGGAAGGCCCTGAGAAAGTGGCGTTATCAAAGCCATTTTTCCTTGAAGCTGCGTCTTGACTCTGCTCTTGCGGGTGGATGAGATCAGATTGAAATGAAGCTTTTGCAAATGTTTCTGTTGTGTTCTGTGTAACGTGGCCCGCCTCGGGACATGAGACCCAAGCTCCATGGTACCTGTCCTATGCACTGTCCTGCGGAAGTGTGCATCCTTGTATTGCGAGATAATCCTATTACGTCAGCCTTCAAAGGTACCTTGGAGTAGGAACTGTATTAGCCAGTAACTTGGCTTACCCAGTAACAAAACATTAGATACCACTGAGAATCTCTTGGAAACATGCAAAAAGAATAATAGCATCACTTTGTTATTATATAGTTATCATTACTGATAACCTCAGAAAGGTTTCCGTCATGCCCAACAGAGGCAGTAGTGCAAGTGCCAGGCTGGTTTGCCCTCCAAGGAGTCAGGATTTATCAGCAGCCCCCTCTGTGCTGATGCAGTTGTTCTACGTCAGGGGCCAGCCTGGATGCTTCCTCCTGCGATACACGCAACGCGTGACTTTGTTAGTAAGCCCAAGGCAGCCACTGTGAGATGCTCCATAAGGTAACTTCTCTCGTCACAGCGTATCCTCGTCAGACCTCTGCACTACGTAGTGACAGTTCCTGTTGAATTCTTGACTGTCTCTTCTGCCTTGTAGGTAAGACATGCAAATAAAATGATCTCCTTATATCATTGCTACATCATCATCTTCTCTGTATTATCTTTAACGGGAGAGCTCTATAGGCGCTTGCTCAACAAACACAGGATTTCAACAGATGCAGCATTTGCATGTTCTCTCGCTCTGGGGAGTGGGTGGGATCCATTTTTTTTTTTGCTTGGTTTCTGCCTAGAGTAACTCCTAATTAGAGAACAGCATATAGGCTGCCCTTGCAAGTGAGTAGGATTGTAGGCAAGAGTTCCTGATTGATAGAAACTCAAATTACAGTAGGGTGCTTTGTTTTTGGGGGGTGGGGAGGGTGTAGGGCATGTTTTTTGGAGTTTTTTTTGTTTTGTTTTGGATAGGTGAAGTTTTTTTCCCTGCAGATTAGGGAATCATCTTGAACACCTTGAAGTTCTAGCAGTACCCAGTGACGTAAACAGGAATATCAGTTGTTTTATTACAAGCCAACAGGGTAGGATAGCAATATCGCACTTGCTCTGGTAATAGTGACCAGGAGGGAGATGACTGTAGTGGCTAGGTACTTCCTCATATACCAGGTTTTCTGACATTTCACAAAATGACTTTTTTTTTTTGTCTTGTAAGTATTGGATTTTGAAATTTGTCAGTTAAGAATATTAGTTCATTCTTCTCCATTCTGGGCCACCGTGGATTCCTACATGGTGAAAACTTGTTGTGCTGCCTCTTGGAGACTGTACTTACTGTTTTTCTGGGGGGGCTCTTTCTTACATGTCTTTAGAGCCTAAATGGAGCTCGTGCCATAGTTTTCAGGCCTGTCTTGGGAATTGTCCTGTGTCTGTAGTATCTTATTATCTCTGTCCCAGACTGAGTCAACCTGTGGGGAATATCTGAGCCGAGCCTGGCCCAGGAGACCTTGCTGTTTCACTCTAATAAGATGCAGTGCGACGTGTCGCGGACCTCCCACAGCAGCCCCTATGGAGAAGGGCACATCTGTGCGGCTCAGAGCAAAGCTCCTCCGGAATCGGAGTCCGTGGAAGCTTTTTATTTTTATATTTTTCAGGGCAGGTCTCTCCAGTTATCTCTGTAGTCTGTGTCTTGAATAGCCTTGAAGGTGCAATACCTTTGGGCTCTGCTGTGGGTCATCGTCTTGATCTTTGAGACCCTTCTAGAGGTAGACATCATCTGGACATCATTTATGGGTATTTTCTTCCGTCATCTGCCTAACTAATCTTTTCAGGGCTTATTTTTCCTGTTCTTTGAATAAATTTTTGTGGAAGAGTTTTCCTGCAGTGAACAATGGTTCATAGCTGTACACTGAAACCATGAATATAGTTAAATATTGCTGCTTTAAAAACTCTTGTTGCTGGAAGAGACTGGGACTACTGGATTACCTAGCTTGTCATTATGTCAGATTCCATAGCCGTGGGTCTTTGTTCCCGTACATTTCCTACAAGCTCAGATAGCTGTTGCTGTTTTAAAATGGATTGAGATTGCAGCTTTGCAGGTTGCATGTTGATACTCAGGAATTATTTGAGGTGTGTTTGTGGAGTGAGTGCGTAAGTGTCTTGGGAGAAAACTTCCAATTTGAGTTCAGAGTATTCCATCTCAGGGGCAGAGAAATATTTGCAAATTCTGTAGATATTTTAGTGAAATATTTCAGGATTTGGGACATCTTAAGCTATTGTTGACCTAGATAGAGAGGTGACCCAAAATAACTTCTGTGTCTTTTCTTTTTATTCTTGTTCTTAAGGAAGTCACTTACCCATACAGGCTGTCCATATGTGCATTCATTTATTTCTTTCTCTGTGTCATACCCAATGATTTGTTGATCTATTTTAATGCCATTTAAAAGTTTTTAAGGAAAGTTTGTCCCACAGATTGATAGAGGAGAGTCCAGAGTAATGCACAAGTCTGGAACCAGCAGGCAAAACTTGATCACTGTATGTTCCTTTTGGCAGGAGCTGACCAGCTGTTCAGTAGAAAAACACTTTCCAACTAGCCGTGGCAAAAATATAAATCAGCTCATACTGATTCTTTGACAAATGTCTGTTTCTCTTAAATAACTATGCAGGATTTCTCCCCTCTTCCTGGGAGGCATCTCTTAATCTGTTAACTAGTTAAGAACTATGAGAAAAAAAATGTCTGCTATTTTGGTCTGGCAGGACTCTGCTGTCATAACTTAAAAGCCTTGGGAATTCCTTTAAATATTAGAAGTTAGATGACCTCGTATGGCTGTCAGAGTAACTTATTTTAAGTGTATTTTTTGAGTTGGAATTTTGAAAGTAGAGACTCTGTGTGTGTATTTATTTCGTATTGAGAAGTTTTGACATTGAGTGCCGCTTGCTTTTTGTATGAGCTTGTTACTAGTGATTGCTTCTTGAAGTGGCGTGTTTTGGCTGGCCAGCAATATCCCTTAGGAAACCAAGAATAACAGGTCAGGAATATACTTGAGTTGCATGTGGCTTGAGCTGAAATTAAAATGCTCAAAAAATAGGAGCTCTTCAAAACGTTCTCTGATTTAAAAAAAAAAGAAAAAAAAAACAGGATTAAATTAAGATTTGAAAGTTTTGCCCTAAAATGTTCCATGAACAATTTAAAATAGGAATCTTGATTGAATAGATAGTTGTGGCACTTCATTGTGTATGAAGAAATACATAAACTGAAAGTATAGATGAAAAAATCTGAAAAAGTATGTGTATGTATAGTTTATTAAGCAAATTTTCTGTTAACTTTTCCTAACCTTTTTCCAATGTTTTGTGCGTATCTTTTTACTAGTGCTTTTAGTAACTGAACAGCAGACTATGTAGATCTCTTGTTTTAAATGACCTATTGAAATCTTGCACATAAACAAGAAAAGGGTGTGGTTGGTAACTTGATGTTGGTAGTTAAAATACTCATTTGGTAAATGAACACAAAGTCATATGTATTATATGTGAATGATAGAATAAGCAAGTCTCAATCTATTTCAGGAGATGAGTATTTGACAGACTGTGGGGAAAAATAAGTAGGGGAGGCAACTTTGCAGAGGGGTTGGGAAAAAAATGTATACACATACCTACTTATATATAGGCAAATATGATACATATGTTTAAATGTTTTAATTTATATGTATATAAAATATTTTTGTGGAGTTGGTTGTTTTATATCTTTGTGTATAGTTTCCAGTGTTGTTGATTTTTGCCAGTCTTCTTCAATAGGATATAAAACACTCAGTACGTGCTGCATTAATCACTGTTAGATGGTACCTTTTGAAAAGCATAAACTTGTAATGTGATGTAAGGCAGATCCTATGTATATTCTGATGACTGCATATAATGCAGTAACAGTCTCTTTTTATTTTTGTTGTTGTCAATTAAATGTTCTTAATTATATGGAAATTCTTCTTCCCCAGAAGTGTCTAACTTGTTTTAAAAAATTAGTTTAGGTCCACTGAAAGGTAAGCACTGCTGTTGCTAGTCATAGTTACATTCACTGTGAAAGAGAGTTGAAGGGTTTGAAATCTAACACTGCAATTTCTTTTTTGACCTGTTTAGCTTTTTCTTGTTTTTGTTCCTAACTCCTTGAACTTCTTGCGTTTATTTATCGTTATTATTTCAAAGTTCAGTGAAATTCTTCAGCATATTTTATGCAGGTTACAGTAATACGGTCAACCATGAGTCGACCATAAAATGATCTTGAGGGATATGTCTTGCAACAGGAAAATATTGCATTCAATTGTGTGTAGCTTCCATGTCCTATAAAAGTATGTGCACTTTCTGAAAAGTGCAACTTTTTATTTTTTATTTTTTTTTTAGTCATTAATTTTAATCAAACTATTTTTAACTTAGCAAATAGAGAGTTTTAATAGATTGGATACTGTCACTCCTATTTTAACAGTATGTTGATTTGTAGTCCTCTTCTGATATGTTATTGAGAAATTAATATGCTTTAATGTTAATGTATTTTTTTTTCATTTGCTTTCAGGAGAATGACATCTTCCTGGGCTGGGAAAAGGGAGCTTACAAAAAATGGGGAAAGAAAGTGCTCTGATCTAACACTAGAGGAAATGAAAAAACAGGCTGCTGTCCAGTGTCTTCGCTCTGCTTCTGATGAAGTAAGTTTGGACTAGTCAGTAGATTCCTAAGAATTAATGCCATTCTTTTTGACTTCGATATATTTAGCTTGTGATGGTTAATATTGTAATCTTTACCTTCTTAAAATGCAAGTTCCCCAACAGTTCTCTGAGAGGTCTTTATTTCTTCTTCAGGAAATTATGAAACCTGTGTGTGGTGGCAGGATTTCACAAAAGCCTCTGTGTTGTGTAGCGCAATGCTTTCTTCCTACAAGCCTTCACCTACTCCTGTCAAGGACAGTTGCAATATACCAGGTTCTGTTGAAATTACCACAAGGCTTTGCATAAGGATATTTATTAAAATTCTAGATTTACTTTCTGTTGAAGTGTGCTTGAGCAGCAAAGAATGGAACATTTGGGCAGAAAGCCATCAGGTTGTGCATATGCTACGTGTGTAACCCAGAATTGCTAAATAAAATCCAGTGTACTGTAACAGACATTAATTTTCTAGATTACATCATTAGGTGGGAGCTGAGCTAATGCACCATGACTGGAGAAAGGGAGGAAAGGTAAAAGCAACAGGTAGAAGAAGGATACCAGTAGTAGTAGGTAGCATGTAGCTCTTTATTTGTTTTTTTGTTTATTTAGAGGGAGGAGGAAAGGTGTGGTCTATCTTTTAACTTACAGAAAGAAAGGGAAGGCCACTGGTGTACGAATACTTGGATCTATCACTACTGCAAGAAGAAACTCTCCCTGCGCCCCAGCCTGGTTGCCTGTTCTTGCCCCAAGTACCTTCCTGGTTGCAGTTTGTGCTTGCACAAGCATCGCTGTGGTTGTGTGGTGATGAACTGGGTTGGGAAACTGAATCAGTTTCCTGAACTTAACCTGGTCGGGGTGGAGGAAGTGTTCAACCAGAGAAGTTTCCTAGTCAGATGTGCAGCACGGACATATGTGGCAGCTAGAGTCGGGAAGGCTTGTGGCCAAGAAAAATTAAAGAAGTGAGATTGATTTGATTTCCCTCATTCTCCTTTTCAGCAGTACCAACACCAGCTTATGTTGGCTTATTGCTTATGAAGGTCTTAGAGCATTGGTTCAGTTACTAATTGACTAATTGGAAAGTTGCTTAAACTCTTTTATTTTGCTATTGCTTATGATCCTAGCAAAGTGAGGCAAAGTATAATTTCGTTGGCAAATTGCTCGCATATGTCAGCTGTGTCAGCACTCTGACTACTCTTTCAGTTAATGCAGATATGAAGAAATAATTGCAATCCCTTTCTAGGCATTACGTCTCTTGTTGCTCATAAAATGAATATAAAAATAGTATATAGACTACAGGAATACTGGCAGTCTATTTCTGGCTTTAGAAATAACTTTCTTGATGCATCTTCCAATAACTGAAAATCAAGTAAGTATTACTTGGGGTTAAATTTATATCGGAAAGAGAAAAATAGTTGGAAAAAAAAAGAAAGAAGATGAAGTTATTAGTAATCCCAAGTCTGACTCTACTTTTTGTATAATCTAAGGGAAGGAAAGAAAAATAAACCTTTCGAGTTTTGAAAAAATGAGAAGATGTCTGATCTAGAAGTTTGAATAAGTAACTCATTGCTTTGATACCTGCTACCTCATCACGCTCTATTGTTCAACAATCTTCTGCATTTTTTGAGGACTATTTTAACTCCTGTACTGTGTGTTCAAACAGTTAAACTGGCATGTGTCCTTTTAAGGAAACTGTAGGTTACAATTTTTTTCTTCTGTTTTCAGAAACCTTTAAATTTGTTCTTTATCTGTTTTTACGCTGTTTCTTAAAGTTGGTTTATAGATAACATGTAAAAGGGAGAAATCAACTTCATATCCTGGAACTGGTGGAGGGGAACTCCTTCATATTAGTGGTATTTTAAAGTAACTTGAAGTTACCTTTTTTCTGTTTTTGAAACAGAATTGCTTTGTTGGCTGTTTTCTGTACTAAATTGGTGTGCTAATCTGCTAGGAATAATCGTAGATCTCATGCTCAGAAATATAATGTTGTAATGCTATTTCTGCTGAGGCATCCAAACTGTTCCACGCAATGCTCAAAATTTCACTCTACAAGAGGATAAAAATATTCTGGTAACAGTAGCCAAATTTGATGATTAGTGGTGTGTGTGTGAGGCATGTTTATATAAACTGTTAAAATACAAATAGATGACTTCCTTTGCAATGCCGCTTGAAATTCTTGAACTGATTTTTGAATCATATGAAGATGTTTACCTGCTTTATTAAGATCTATTTTTATTATTATTATTACAAGTTGCATTTCTGTCAAATACAGGTGCATGCACACATACACAAAAAATAAAAATGAGTACTAAGAAAAGTAAATAAATGAGTAATAAAAATAAATTATTTTACTGGTCCTTAGTGTTTGAAATATTTTGAAGACTTGCTTTTTATGGGTTTTCATTTTCTTAAAATTAACTGTGGTGAATGTTTTGCTTGATTTGAATTCTACTAGTAATAAAACAATTTTTTTTTTTCAAAAGACAAAGACTAGTGGACTAGTGTTGTAAAATATTAGTGAGAGATAGAAATCCAGTAGTCTAGTTATTCTTTTGCAGTGCGGGAAATGAACATTTGACCTCAAAAAGCTGATAGTTTGATATTATTCCTAAAACTCTTCCCAAGGTACAGTATAGGACAAGTCCAGGGAGGCTGAAATCTTCTGACCATTCTGCATCAATCTATCTTGCTGTGGCTAAGCGTGTTGCTAACTTAACATCTGTCACCATCAGACCTTCTCTGTCTGGTGAATGTGTGTCTTAAGAATGCAGACCATGAACGTAAGTGTGTTCTGAGCACAGTATTACCTGTGTGATAGCTCTTCAGTGTCTCCAGTTGTCCATATTCTTAGGAAAGTTTGGCTGCAGATGCTCATGATGCAGTTGGAAGTAGAGAAGATTCTAATATAACAACTTAATTGCACTTAATTGCAATTTAACAGAATAAGGAGACAGCAAGATGGTGAGGAGAACTTTAAGACAAATCCTTGCATGTAATATTTGATTGCCACTATTCTCAGTGCATCTCTAAAGCTTATCTTATCAAAATACGTGAATGTAAATAGTTGTTCATAGAGATGCGCTGAGAAATTATTCGAGTTAAGCTCGTAATTATCAACAGTACAGATCTTATCAAATATTTATTATCCTGTTGATTTTTTTTTTAAATGAAGAAGTAGGGCTGTTCTTTCTCCCAACATTTCACTAAAATGAAAGCTATTCAGGAATGGGAAGTGTTCCCATAAATGTCCTCTGAGGAAAATAAAGAATTTCATCAAAGTATAGCCTCAAGTTTTAAGTAAAAATAGTAAAAACTGTCATTATTGAATTACTACTTTTATTTTTGTGTGCCTGTCTAGTACATTGGAAATTTGGAAGGTCAGTTAGTTTGTGTACAGTCTGAGATGCTTTTTCTTTCTTAGAACTCCTAATTCTGAAAGTCTGTTAATTATATTGAATAAGAATAATGAAACTTATCTGTAACGAGGCAGAAAGCAGTATTGTCAAGACTCAGAAGGTTAGCATTAAAAGTAATAATTAAACAATTGGTCTTTTTTTTTTATTATTTTATTTTTTTTTTCAAAGTGAAATCTGCCTGAGCAGGGCTGAATTATATGTAGGGTACTTGTAGAAGCTGATACATTTACAACTTTGAGTTCAGTCTGGATCCCTGTATGTACAGTTCCTACTAATAATAATTGTCAGAATGTCTGCCAGAGGTCAGAAAATCTGAACTTCGCTAGGGAGTATTTCGTTTGTTGACTTCTGTGTGCGCCAGCTCTGCCGAGGGCTGCTTTGGTTTGCAGCTCTGGTGTGCAGGTCCCTCCCGGTGCTGGCTCCGTGTTGAACTGAACCTGGGAGCGTGGCCTGTGGGATCCCACCCCAAGATGGTGCTAGAGCTTTGGTTAACGCAACCCCATGGGACACTTTAGGAATGAGCGAAGGAGACTCCTTCAGATGGAGCTGATTCCCTTCACTGATGAAACCCAGTCTCTGAGGCTCTTTCCTCTTTTCCCAATGGGTGGCCACTTTACTTAAGCGGTTCCATTGCCCGTGCTGCTGTCTGATCAACATTGCTAATCACTCAAGTTTATCCTGATGTAAGGCAGTGTGGCCCCTTGATACCTGAAATAATCAGGTTCTCGAAATTTGCCAGCTGCCTCATGGAAGAGTCTGTAAGCTGTTAAAGAATTAGTCTGGCTTGGTAGGAGATGGTGAGGTTTGAAAGGGCACTGCTGTATTATATTTGACAAATGCAAATAGCCTCTGCTTCCTGGCAGGAGTCTGTTTGGAACGTCAGGAGGTGTGAGCAGGGTGTCCGCTGGTGCGTTGGCCCTGCTGGCTTTGAGCTAGAGGGAGCCCGTCTCAGCGTAGAACCATCAAACTTGCTATGCAATTGTAATGGTTTTACCCATGAACCTGGTTTGGAGCAATATGCTCATAATGAGGCCAAACTAGTTTTGGTTCTGTGATGTGAGGAGGCCCGAGCATGTTCTTAGCAGTGGATGACCAAGGCTTTTTCCTACTGTTGTGTGCTTCTCTGCTGCAAGGCAATATTAACTAGGTAGCGCGTTTTGATCACTGCCCTGTGCTCGTGAATCAGCACTAGCAACATCAGATGGTTTCAGTGACTTGGCTGATGCATCTTTGTGTAACTAGAAGTGACACGAACAAGAGATTTGTGAAGAAAGTGCCCGGTATTCTTTTTTTTTTTTTTTTTTCTTGTTGCTGTTACAGAAATGAAAGCCATAATTGAAAAATCCTATAAAGAGGAATTCTCAGTGCTTGAAATAACACTGGTAATATAAAGGTAAAAGACAGGATAAGAATGAAGCAAGTCTTTTAAAAGCTGTTTTAACAAATCAGAACAATGACATGCTGAGGTGACTGTTCAAAAGTCCAAAACTATTAAAGCATATAAACCAAAAAACAATGAAAAAGAATTAAGATTCCCAAACAGCCTTAAAGCTTCTTGGAGTGTTATCACCTAATCATCCAAATAACTCA